TGTGTGTGTGTGTGTGTGTGTGTGTGTGACATGGGACTATGGTTGTCACTGTACTAAAATGAGATTCTGTGGCCTTAAAGCAATATAACCGCTATATCAGTTTTTAATATATACATTGTTTTTTAAATTCTTAGCACTGATGTCCTGCTTTGCACCACAGAGTGTATATAAAGAAGGACGCAGCGTCTCAACTTCCTCCCACCATCCAGAAATTAAACCAAAATATCCCGGGTACAAACGTCACCCTGTTGCACATTTGGAGCAAGAGGCTGTGAAGTAGCGACGTCCTGCAGCGAGTCAGTCCCAGCTGTCAATCAAGACATTTCACCCCATTTTTTATAGCGTCAAATAACTGATTAGACCCAAACTTAAGAGACGTACATCAGTGTGATAAGAACTGATTAAAACGACAGTAACTATCTTTGGGAGAAATGTATTTATGATGTGAAAACTCAACATTTGGAGATGATGATCCTCCAAAATCCCTTTGAAAGCAAGAATCTTAAGATGAGTCAGAGCTCAGCAACTGTGTATGCTCTCAGACTGTAAGTGATGAGTGTCTGTGTTTTTGTTTTCTTTCTTTCCCAAATGCGGATATTTCTTTAGGAACTGAGCTCACCGATCTTAGCTCTTGAGTCATTCCTTGTGTTTACTGTCGAATATGTAATATCGGTGATGTGGGAAATTAGGTTTATTCTGCTGCTCCTAACTTTGAAACCTTGCTCTGATTAAAAAAGGATCTTAAAATAGAATATATATCATGTAAAATATGTATGTATTTTGTGTTTTGGGAGAACATACAGTAGAATCACACAGGTTCCATTTGAAGGTTCATTAAACAGAAACAAACTGATGTGTTGAGTGAAATGATGAGTGTGTAGGACATAGTTTGTGGACGAAAGTACTGCTGCCACCAGAGCTAAACAAGGAAAGACTTAAATGTGCACTTTAGATTAAGATTAACATTACTTTATTATTGAGTTGTGCGTGGATACTGGTTATATAAGTATGACCCCCTGTGTACATTGCGGCCCCTGGAGTAAAGAAATCCTAGATCTGCCTCTGCTGCTGTGACTCTATCCTCATTCATCAGTGAAGGCTCTAAAACATCCTCTTAAATAAGCGTTCTCCTAATTGAAAGCAGAATGAATTCACAACATGTCGGACCATCGCTCTTATTCCTAGATTTTAAGACTAGTACTTTAAATCGTATCGTGACCTTTATCAAGGAATGATGAGGTAAAAACTCTTTCTTCCGGTGATATCCTCCTTAAACATTTAACTGGCCAAATCCACCATCAGCTCTGTGACTATATGTCAAATGTTGTATCTGAGTCACATTTGATAAACTCATTGAACTGCACTTTATTATCAGACTCAAAATAACTTAAATGTCAAGGAAACCCCCCCCCCCTCTCTCTCCCCCCTCTCTCCCCCTCTCACTTAATTCAATAAGCTTTATTGACATGGTGACGTTCACATGTGCTGTACACAATATTTCATGTATTTACATTACATCACATTTATAATTTTATAATTGGTACATTCAACATCTATGAGGGGACATGAGGGAGTCAGTGTCTTACCCAAGGACACTTTGGCATGGGGGGGGTAAGGGGAAGACTGGGGATCGAACTACCAACTGTCTTTCTGTCTCTCTCTCTCTCTCTCTCTGACTCTCTCTCTCTCCTCAGACACACCCCCCCACCCCTCTTTATCGCTGTGGAGAAAACGAGGAAGCGACTGAGTGAGAGAGAGAGAGAGAGAGAGAGAGAGAGAGAGAGAGAGAGAGAGTGAGAGAGTGAGAGGAGAGAGAGTGAGAGAGAGAGAGGAGAGAGATAAGGAGACAGAGAGAGAGAGAGAGAGAGAGAGAGAGAGAGAGAGAGAGAGAGAGAGAGAGAGAGTGAGAGAGTGAGAGGAGAGAGAGTGAGAGAGTGAGAGGAGAGAGATTAGGAGTCAGAGAGAGAGAGAAAAGGAGGAAGCGTCAGAGAGAGAGAGAGAGAGCGAGCAGTGCAGCAGCAGCTCGTGCACTCGGCGGAAGAACAACGCGACGAAAACTCAACGAGAAACTAAACAACCACAAACTCTGACCTGCTCCATTCAGACAACACAACGACAACTCAACAACAACACAACAACAACACAACAGCAGCTACACAACAACAGTAACGGCACTCGACAGACGAAGGCTCGGGCTCGGACACCTGCTGTCGGTCGCTCGGTGAAAGTGAAGAGGAAACACAGCCCGGTGCTCGGCAGGTGTCAGCGGGAGGATGGCGGACTCGGCGGCGGCCAACAGTGACGGGGAGGACGGACCCCAGCAGCCCTTGCGGGGCTTCGCGCGCCAGGGAGCCCTCCGCCAGAAGAACGTGCACGAGGTGAAGGACCACAAATTCATCGCGCGCTTCTTCAAGCAGCCCACGTTCTGCAGCCACTGCACGGACTTCATCTGGTGAGGGACACGCTCAGGGTCACTGCTGTCATGTTTGCACTGATGCACTTCACTCCACAGGCCACAAGTGATCCGTCACGTGTTGGGTATAGAGATGAGTGAATGAGTGTTGAGGGGCAGGTGAAGATACCCCTGACAAAATGGCTGTAGACCCCTGAATGTGTTGACAGTATCGTTAAGTTGTAGCAGGGATGAGGAAAAGTGGGAAGGCTGCACTGATTTTCTCAAACAATCAGTGTGTCAGGTAGAGACAGGGAGATGTGTGGGCAGACTGGTGTTTGACGAGGCTGAGAAAAATGAAACGCTCTGGAAAAACTGCATCCAACATGAGAGGAGATATGATTCAAATGGGTCAAACACTGGATCAACAGCTCACACAACTTTCGCTCCCTCTGCTTGTTCTCCTTCTTCAGTCACCTGTACAGACATGCATGCATGCATTGTGCAGGCCACCCAGAGAAGATGACAAAATGGCTCTATAGACCCCCATGTGTAAATCATCAAGTTCTATCAGGAACAAGTGGGAGGGCTGCACTGATTGCACAGTTCTCTCAAACGTCAGCTGCAGCCTTCTTCTTGTTGTTGATGCCGTATGTGTCAGGTAGAGCAGAACACAGGGAGATATGTGGGCATCAGCAGACTAGCGCTCACAAAACTTCCTCTTCTCCTCTTAATCACACATACAGACTGGTCATTGTGCGGCACACCGTGAGGTAAAGATGACAGAATGGCTCTAGACTTCAGTATTTGATAGTATTACATCCAGAAGTTATAGCTGGAACAACACTGATTGCACAGTTCTCTCAAACGTCAGCTGCAGCCTTTTTCTTGTTGTCGATGCTGTGTCAGGTAGAGCAGAACTCAGGGACATATGTGGGCAGCGCCTGCAAAATGTGCAAGACTAGCGTGCGACAACATTAAATTAGTGTCAGAGGGAAAAATATTTGTTTCTCAACACTGACACAACTGCTCCCTGCACAACTTCTCCTCCTCCCCTCTTCCTTTTTCTCTGCATTTTCTCCTCTCAGTTACCTGCACAGACATGTCGTCCTGCATCCCACCGAGGGGGTTTACCAGACAGTGATACAGCCCAGTGCTCGGGTTATAAAATGAGTTTCCGGCCCTAGGTTGGCCTAATTTGTCCCGTTTATTATTATCGGTGCTTTGCGCTACTCCCAATACAACCATCATTTAAGTCCTGTGATGGGCTTTTTAATTTGTGAATGGCTAAATGGTTTGACCTAGAAGGTTGTGTACGTGTGTTCAGGGGAATCTAATGCGATTGTCTATCTGTCTATCTATCGTTCTATCTATCTATCCATCTATCCATCCATCTATCCATCTATCTATCTATCTAGGTCAATAAGACTAATGAAAAAGAACAATGAGAGCGCTGAGTGATTTCACAACCCCGTGAGATTATCTATTTGAAGCTACAATATGAGCATGAGCAGGGCTGTGTGTGTGTGTGTGTGTGTGTGTGTGTGTGTGTGNTGTGTGTGTGTGTGTGTGTGTGTGTGTGTGTGTGTGTGTGTGTGTGTGCGTGCGCATACCTTCCGGCATCCCAGCATATCTTTAACTAGGTGTGGTCAACTTCTTGCCCCGGGGTAGCAGCTCCCCCAACAAACACAACAGTCTTGAGAGTGTGTGATTGACAGTGTGTGTGTGGATCTAATTGGCCATCTCTACACACACACTATGTGTTTTCTAGATGGAACGCTTTTAGAGCTGCACAAAAATGGCATGGCATGTTTGACATTTGCCTCCATGCAAATGCCTTGTGGCTAAGAGAGGGTGTCTCAGAATTATTTTTCAAGCTTTTTGTGTATATATGTGTGTGTGTGTGTGTGTACTGTACACACGTCTGCGCCTGTACAGTGTTCAATATTCAACATGTTTTGTGTTTATGTTCTCTCCACAGGGGTTTTGGCAAGCAGGGATTCCAGTGTCAGGGTAGGTGGATCAGACACACGCAGACACACATGCTCACTGTTAATTACTTCTTTGTCTCTTCTTAGTACTGTCATTTTCCATTTGTTTGCTTTTCAGGTTAAGATTCCAAGATCAATGTTATACCTCATCTCTCTTTCTGTCTTTTCTGTCTCCTCTCTTCTTCACCTTTGTCACTTTACTTTTGCTTTCTTTCTTTCATCGTGCGTCTTACTTTTCTTCAGAGTGCTCAGGTGAATGGTGACGTTCTGAGCTATGTTCTTTAAACTCCAGTTTTGATGGCATGTTATTCATTTTAAGTGTTTTTATGTTTAGTCGGTTTAATGAACACCATTTCCAAGGTTGAAAATCTTGACTCAAAAAACAACTATTAGTTTGACAGTCAGTTTAGATTTCAGGATCTGATGTGAACAAATAACAACAAAATGTTCACACTTAGTCCAGACTGGAAATAAAGGCACCAAGAAAAATAAAGGTCATATACATATCTTTTAATGCTATGAATTATTTTGTGTCATTGCTAGAGATAAAGTCTTGTTAAAGCTGTGGTGTTTATAACAGATATTGTTATGTAAGTAGAACCAATACAACTGTATGGTTCAGCTTTCTTTAAAGATCAGTGGGAAACGTTGCAGGTCAACACAGTCATGTCTGGAAGTGGAGGCCGGACTTTAGAACTTGACTCAAAAAAGAAAGCATTCTGTGGGTGTTGGTTTAGTTTCGGATCGTAGGAAGGTGACCTCAGGAAATACCCATTGGTTTGGCCTACACAGTCGATTCATTGACTGAGCATTAAACACTTCATCATCAAAAATGTATTTTAGATATTTTGTCTTGTCATAGGTAAAACACAGTTTCCATTAGTATTAACAACGGCAGTCTGTTCAGCTGTTTTTAGACATAAACTCTGGAATATGGCCAGGAAATTGGTTCTGGACATTTTCAGGAGTTTGTCTTTGAAACATGAAGTACGCAGCAGGAGATTGTCCGAGTCAGACATGTTCACAACCACAGAAAAAGGCCAATGCATTCAGGTGACACTTGCGCTTTCACGTACAGCCCCACCAGAAAATTTCAGGAAGATGTCTTGTCAAATTGTGTGCTGTGAAAAAGGCCTGTTGAGTATAGACAAGAACAAGAAATGTTCTGTCATGCTCAGGACTCTGGAGGTCAAATGGAGGATTACACTCAGGATTGATCAGATTAGATCAGTTCATTAACAGTACAGTGCGACATCTGATTTTGTGGTTCTCGCTTGTCTAATCGTGGGAGAATTTGCATTATCTTGCATCCGTTATACTTGAAACTTACATCCTACAGAAAATGTAAAACTGAAAAGCCATAACTCTGTAGCATTATTTAAATATATGAAAGACTATGTAGCCTTGAGATGATTTTAAATAAATGTTAAATTAGGTGAATTAAATATTCCATCCTTGTGCTGCAGTAGAGATGGATACTGATTTAAAAAAAAAAAAAAAACTACTGTCAACATAAACTATCAGATAATAAACACATGTTGCAGACAAAAATCTGGTGGTGCTCTGAGTTTTTGTGCTGTTTTCTATTTGCATGAAGTCAGTGGTGGTTTTTTTTTTTTCACTTTCATAAACAGCCGACTCGATGTGTCCAAGGATTTTCAAGTCTCCTAGCAACAGTGAAACATTCAGATGCAATTGTCTATATGCTGATCGATGGAAAGAGGAGCTGTTCAATACAGCAGTAGGTTAGCTGGTAATTAGCTGGTGTGGATATGTAATATGTCAATGGTGTCCTTTAACAGATGCATCCGCTGCACCGTAGGGGCACCCATGTCTCTGGAGAGGAAGGGGTGTGTTGCAGGTGTGTGTGTGTGTGTGAGGGCACTTTTACACTCTGATAACAGGGCAGAGCTCTGAGGACAAGAAGTGATTTACCGCAAGGATTTCAACACTCTCTCCTCATGTTGATGCTGAACAATAACTTGAATATCTGATTTATGTATTTGAGCTTGTAAATGTGTGGATGAGTGGCAATAATTACACTAACCTTTGTTAATCAGGTGTGTGTTTGTGTGTCCTGAGAAGCTCTTTGACGCATTTGTCAGTCTGGAGCAGGGTGTCACTTCCCTAGAGCTGAGGGAGAAAGGGAATTCCACTGCAAGGTCTCTCTGACACACACACGCACGCACACACACACACACACGCACGCACATATAGAAGGAAGGGAGAGATCGGTGTTAGGGTGAGATAGTCTTGTGTCAGTCATCTCACAACTTGATGCAGGGCGTCTGTGTGTCTGCAGGATGATTTACTCTGCTGTTTGCTCTTATTATTATTCATGATGTTGAACTTTGAGACCTGACTCTACTAATCAATGTCTGACATGGTGTCTTGTGGATTGATTGTATTCTCATTACCTGAATCAGGTCGTGTCCCCCTCGTCTGGTTTCTCGATCACACTTCAGTGAGCTTAGTTTCACTTGCCTCGTCCTCTCACTGCTCCTCTAGTTCTGTAGCTCTGACTTTTGACCTTGGTGTTTTGTTGGTTTTAACCGTTGCTGATCCAGATGACGTTGATTATTTTATCATGTTGTTAAACTGCAGCTCACGTCTTGTACCAACCAAATGCACTGTGCTTGAGTTATTCCGACACAGAGTTCTCACAGGATGGTAGAGGTCAGTATAATCATGTTATGTTGATGAATGAGGTGCAGGGCTGATTTTCAATTGTTCATTAATGTAACTGCTTGTATTTCCTGCTGTGCGTCTCAGTGGCTGTAGAGAGGTTCAAAGAAGCCAAGATTCATTTGCAGCACTTGACACTGACATTTGTTCCCTGTGGGTTTTCATTCTCCCTCGTCATGAGTGCCAAAGGGAAGTTAGATTAGGTTCTGGTAATTAAATTAAATATTGTCTCAGCTTTTTTTGATATGAGCTATTGGAATGTGACAGCCCTAGATCATATGAACCTAACTGACATCAATTCAGTAGTAGCAATTCATGATGAAAGAATAGAACGGCATGAGAGCATACACCTGTCAAGACCCAAAAGTCCTCTTAGATTCAATCGAGATGCACGAAAATGTCACACAATCGTATATATGAGTCCCCTGAATGTGACTGATTTCTTTCAGCAAGCTCCACAAATGATTCCCTCAGAGATAAGTGAAAATGTGGAAAAACACCTTATATTGCGATGTTTAAACAAAGCGTAAAAAAAATTCCTACATCCTGCTTTTTAATTCCGGTTCCAGTGCAGGATTTACTGGGTTCTCTCTGGGTCCACGTTCCATCCATCCAACCAGTTACAATGAAATCAGTTCAGGTGAGATACTAAATAGAAATTGATGTTTTTAAAAGTATGAAAATGTCTTTCCCCTCACTTGCCTGTCCATCCAATTGACACCTTCATTGTTGTCCGTGAAGGGAAAATTATAACATACTGTATACGATGAATAGAAAGTCAGGACACGCCCTGCTGTTTGAATGGTGGTTTGTACAGTCTGTTACCGTGGATGAAGGCCTTGAGGCTGGTTCGGTTTAGCATATTGTGTAATATACAGCTCATTGCCACAGTAGTGTTGTTGCCGTAAACAACAACCTGCAACGCCTTCCTGGGATTCTGCTCAGGTTCCCATACATTAGAGTGAGGGAGAGTTTGCAGCAGCCTGAATGATGTAATGTGGTGTTTCTAAGAAGTGTGTGTGTGTGTGAGAGAGTTTTGAGCATATTTCCTGCTTCTTGATGTCGGGAGTTAAGCATGCACGTGATGTGGGTTCCATTTAATGATCCAGTGAGCACTTATTTCCTTAATGGCCGCTTGTGCAGAACTGTGTGTGCTCTGCAGCTTCCACGTGATTGGTTTTGTGTGTGTGTGTTTATGCAGGCGTTCCTAAATGAGTTTGTTAATAATGAGTTGGGTTTCAGCGTGTAACAGGCTATTCTGTGTCCTTCACTGTCTGCTCCCAGACTTAATGGACAAATTATCCCTTCAGAGAGCTTGATAAGGATTCAGTGAGGAGGAGGGTGGGTGGCGCTGGGTGACAGGGAGTGTAAGAAAATTCATAAATAGCGGCGTAAGAGGGAGAAGAGATGGGAAAGATGGATGGTGAGATAAGAGATGAGAAGGGTGGAGGAGGCAGAGGAAGGTAGAAAAGAGGGGGTGGAATTCATGGAGGAGATGGGGAGAGAGGAAAAGAGGGGAAAGTAAGTGGGAAGGACGTACGAAGGAGGGAGACGAAGATTACATGTGATTTCACTAAAAGTTCCTATGAAAATAGCTCACAGCCAGAACAGGGAGGAACAGAGGGATGAAAGATGTGCTACATGTCTTTGGGGGCAATAAGGACAATATGTTTTTTCTCTGCAGTCTTCTTGAATGTTTCTAATGTTATGTGAGCACGTAGAGATCATACTGTACAGTCGAGAAAATGGAGACGAGATCCGAGGATATAAATGATGAACATTGAGGAAAGATGTAGGGCAGAAATAGATGCATTCTACAATTCTCCATAATTTATTCTAACTACCATTCTGTTTAGCCTCATGAATAAAATCTTGTGCACAATGCTGTGCTGTTGCAGATGATGCCATTGAACCTTTTTTTTATGTTGTGTAAAATTCAAACCATTTTAATTAAGTCCTGGATCGAGAGGATTGTACGAACACCGAGTGCTCTGCTCTAAATGCATCCTCTATAATCTAAAAGGAAAATGAAAATCCACCAGGCAGCTGGTTGAAAATTAGTAAGAAAGGTTCGCACAGGACTGACACTCCAGCAGAGAGGTGGTGAGTGAGATTTTTCTGCATGGGCAGAGGAGATAATGGACAGGGAAGAAGAAGAGGTAGAGAAGAGACGAGATGAAATGGTGTAGGCACGCAGTGTTGATTGCACTTTAAACGAGCCATAGATGAGTTGCTTGCTGCAGCTATCAGGACCTTTTCCAATGAAACATGTTAGCATTTATTTTTAAGAAAAAGGGTCATTACATCTTCTCTTTGACTGATGGCATCTTTTGTGTT